ATAGATGCTGTAATTGAATTTCTATTTTGAACTCAAAACTCAACTTTCAATATGGAAATTCAAAGATTCAAATTCTAAATCGATCTCTAATTCTTTCAAATATAATTAATAATAAATAAATTTGAATTTATACCAGGTAGTCCGATCCAAATAAATTTTCTTGACTTTGCAAATTCACTAAGTATGTTCACCAGACCTTTAGAAGACTTTTCGATTTTATAACTATCAACAGTTTTTACAATAGTGCACGGTAAAAAATGCGAAATAATTAAGAGCCTAGGCTCATCTTGAGTATAAAAGTAGTGAATTAGCTAAATAAAAACAATGTTGCAAATAATATAAATGCTATCAATAATTTTAAATTCTTTACATGTATTGATTTGGCAGTCCTTGGAATTTTCTGATATTAATTGACTTTCCTCTGACACTATCTTAGGATTTTTTACTATAAATTCAACAGAAGTTCCTTTTGACAATTTATGTGTATTGTTTTGACAGCCTTTAGAATTTCCTGGATTGTTTATTATAAATTCAACAGAAGGTTCTTTTGATAATTCATCAAGAGTGTGAGAGATTTCATCTAGATTTGGTCGATTTTCTGGATCATGAGACCAACATTTATTGAAAAGCCTAATGTAATCTGAAGGCGTATTTGGAATAGGATTTTCTTTTTTGCCGTTTATAACTTCTAATAGTATGACTTGTTTGCTAAGGTGTTGAAATGGAGGAACTCCACTTGTAAGCTCCCAGAACAGTACACCTAAACTATAAATATCTGATTTCTCATTTTGCTTAAATTTATCAATTTTAAATAATTGCGGGTCAATATATGGTATCATTCCTAGTACACTTGAATTTGTTGAGGTTACAGTTTTATCCATTTGTTTTCCCACACCAAAATCTGCGATTAAGGCTTTATGGTCATTAATTAGGATATTGTTGGAATGCTAAATAATTGAAAATTTATTATGACTAGTTTAAAATCGAATATACATTCAGAAATTTAGAAAAAAAACTTACTATATCGCGGTGAATGATAAATTTAGAATGCAAATACTTTAGTCCATCTGTAATCTCTTTTGCGATTTGAATGAGTTCTATCCATGAAATTTTAAAAATTCCATTTTCATGCTTTGTTTTTAAATAATCCCGCAGAGTTCCACCATCGGCAAATTGCAGCACCATCATAAAATTTTTCGTTTGTGGTTCTAAAAACGGTGGGAAGTGAGATAATTGTTTATATGCAAAAAAGTCTCATTGTCACAAATAATTGAAGTTACAGTTGCACAATACTTAAAAATGCGCAGAATAATAATAATTAAAATTGTCAATTATTCGTGATGATAGAATAAAGTTTAGATGTTCAACTCAAATTAAACTCAAATTGATTACATGCCAATTGAAATTCCATGAAATTTGACAATGTTTGGATGGTCAAGTTGGTAAAGAATTCCAAGCTATATATAGTTATATAACAATTAATAGTTTGTATCTAAATGATAATACTAAATGAGATATTGATGCATTATATTACCTCACGTTTTATCTCTCTTAATATTTTTTTATTCACACTTAAGTTATTGTTTAAACTTTTTAGTGCGTACTTTTCCCCTTGACAAACTACCGAATAAACAACAGCCGATCCCCCATAACCAACAAGTTCTCTATTTTTAAACTCCGAATAAATAAACTTCTTTATGTTTCCCAATTTCTTTTGTAACTTTTCTGTATATAAAATTACTAAAATATCGTATATTCATTAACTATGATATTATGATATTATAATATTATTTAATTACTAATCATCTTG